TTTTATCTGAGTTTTGTGAAGATTCTTATTGACATCTATCAACTAAGAAGAGATAATTCGGTGTTCTAACATTGTAACCTAAAAAAAACAGGTTCACAAATTAATATTTAGGTATATATCAAAATTCATTTGTAAAAAGAATTACCATATAAATTCATTTATGATTAACATGGCCATAGAAAAAAGATACATGCCTTCTCATTATTAACAAAATCGTGACATTCTTTGCGATGCCGATCCTCGTATTGATTAACAATCTTGTCAACGTTACTCAATCTTTTTGCTTTCTTGACATTCGTAAGTTTGGAGACATGCATTTGGTGTAAATAAAAATAATATCAATTACTTACTGAATAACTTAAAAAAGAATCCAAAATCAAACAGCATGATACCTTGTTGGACTGTGTTGATGTCGATGGCAACTCAACCTTCTGTAACTTTTGAAGAGTTTCCATTTCATATTCCAATTCCCAGCTCAGTGTACGCTTTAGTTCTGCAGATCCTTTATCACCACCCCTACAAACAAATATGAATAAAATATGTTAAAATATCCTTTATCATCATTCCACATGTAAGACCTCGTTCATACACTTTTCTCCTCTTGTCCCAATTTATAAATGGCAAAAACGTGTTAAAATTCCTCTTCATGTTACAGCAACACAGTTTCTATGAGCTTATTGAAACAAGGCCAGAGGCAAAAGTGGACCGGTAATGTCCTGATTGTCAGTCTCTAAACATTTGCACTTATAACGCTGAGCAGCAAAATCTAGAAATATAAAACAAAAAAAACGGCGGGCCGAAACAAGAGAAATATGGACCTATGCGGAAGTCTTCGATTTCAGTGATACCTTTGCGGAAGTCTTCGATTTCTCCGGTAGTGATTCGAAGAGACGATTCAGAATAAAAAGTACGAAATCTAAATGTATATCGCTTTTTAATCGGCTATGAATCCCGAGCCGCATTCAATAACCAATATTTCCATCTATCATCCCACCAATCCAACCAGTTTCTTGGCCATCGGAGAAGACTGAGAGTCAGGGAGAAACGATGAACACTTACAGTAATTTTATCGAAGAATTTTCTCGAAACGATGAAGATTGAGAGTCGGGGCAAACGATGAACCAGTCTCTTGGCCACCATTAATTTTCTCGAAGAATTGTGTTGGATAAGAAATGCATATGAATTGGTAATTAGGGCTGAGATTTTGACTTTTGACTTTTGAGGAAAAAAAATTAACAGCTTTTTATTCTTTTACGTTTTAATATATTATTGATTTTTTTAATTCTCTAGTTTAATTATGTAAGGTTAATATAGTAATTTCATATGAAGTACGATGGAGTACGATGAAGTACGATATGTGTACGATCTAATTTTACTGGGTTCGTACTTTAATTAATAAATACCTAGGTTCGTACAGAGTCATACTTGGATCGTACTTCAAATCAGCGGTTATAATTATTTATTTAATATTTTCAACGCACCAGATTTATTCGTTTGGGTCCGAGTAGTACAAACCCTCTCGGACCCTAGACAACCCCTATTTATTTTTTGCTAATTGTTTGGGTACATGTATAATACCTTTATAAACTTATGCTTCATTTAATGCTTTATTTTCTTGGCGAAAATTTGTTATTAGATTAAACCACAAATTCTTTAATTAATAATATTGTTTGGGCATATGATTCACCTGTCATTGAAAAGTTGAAGTTGCTACCTAGGATTCCACTTGTCATGCCCATGTGAATCATCTCCCACACGATGACCATAACCTCATTTTTTCCCAGATAATGGGGCATCAACCTCGGATGTAAGAATGTCTATTTTTATTGTGCTGGTTTTCAGGGTCCTCTTCATTGTATTGCCTAGTAGACCTAGCTCTGCCAAGTGAGCGATCAGGACTCGATGACCTTTTTTGGTTGTAAATATTTTTTTCGCATGGATAAGATATTGATTGAATTGCGTTTTTAATGGGATAAGAATTAATTTTTCGAGAAAAGTGCTATGACAGTGAGTGAATTATTTTGTTGCCGAGATATGGTAGATATTGAGTAAATTGATTTCTTGCAGGGATAGGATATTGATTGAAATATTTTTCTAAAAAAGTGCTATCATAGTGGGTGAACTATTTTGTTGGAGAGATAAATATAGATAGTGAGTGGATTGTTGTTTGCACTTATAAGAATATTGATTGAATTTACTTTTTTGCAGCGATAAGATATTGAAAATTATTTTTTCGAAAAAAGTGCTATGATAACATGCGAACTATTTTGCCGCATAAATAAAGATGGATATTGAGTAAAATGATCTTTTGATGGATAAGATATTGATGAAATTGATTTTTTGCACGGATAAAATTTTGATGAAATTATTTTTCGAAAAAAGTGTATAATATAATAGGTGAATGATTTTGCTGAAAAGATAAACATAGGTAATAAGTGAATTGAATTTGTTTAGGGTTTAGATAGTGTATTTAATATTATTTCGGGAAAAGTGTTATCACTTATGATTGTGGGTGAATTATTTTTGTCCATTATAAGTAGTAGTCATTTATTGACAGTGAAGACTCACCAATTCACCTTCATTTTACATATAAATCATGGATCTATACAATCGTTTCAATCCTAATATGAATTTACTATATAGTTCTCATCCACCTCTACAGAATGAATATCATACATTTAATCATTCTCTATCAATTAACAATCTCAACAACTTTCACTATTTCCATTCTATCGTTTTGTTTTTGCAAGTTTCGCACAAATTTCAACTCAAGAGCGCATCATTACTCCAAATACATCAAGTAAGAAAGATTATAAAAACAAAGAGATAAAAAAAAAAAAAAAAAAAAACCTACATTCAAACAAATTCCAATTCAAAAGCGCACACATACTCCAAATACATCAAGTAAGAAGGATAAGAAAGGGATAAAGAAAGCTACATTCAAACTGAAGTATGCAAGAGGATGAAGCATTGAGCAAAGCTTTGTTACATATTTTTGAAGATGCAACAGTCAGTACAGACCAACAAAGAGGTCGGTTGTGGGACCCAATTAGAATGAAATTGATAAAAAAAAAATTAAAACATACTGATAGAAAATCACCCGGGCTAATGCATCGGTGCTCAATCATAGGGCAAGCATTAACAAATTATTGGGAAGTGTGATTGAACGAACTCGAATAAGTGGATACAGCCAAAAGATAATGTAATGAAATAAAAATAATATATTTCATTCACTTTTATATATATATATTTATATGTATGTATATACAAAAAAATTAAAGTCAAGTATTTATATTTCAAGTTTTATTTATAGATTGCAGAATCAAAGAAATTATATTCAAGAAAGAAAATCATAATTTAAGTCGGAAATTTGTTGGCTTATTATGACTGACAATTTGAAATCATAATC